GGTACTTCAAAATTCATATATATATATATATATATAAGGTGCTGCTCTCATAACTCGAACCCACGCTCTTGCAATGGCTACCCGAGTTTTTGACCATCACACCAAATGATGGCTTATATATATATATATATATATATATATATATATGAAAAGTAATTATTTATTATTTTATCAATTGTCAGCTATTCCAAGTCATGATCGTATTGTTTGATGGGATGTTTGGAATTAAATTAAAATAAATAAATAAAATATTAAATAATTCATCTATGAGTTTTGCAAAATTTCTTTCGTGAAAAAGCTAAGCTAGGTCCTAATCACGTTTTGAAAGTCCTTCTAGGTGTGAATTAAGTTGATGTGAAATATAGAAGGGTTTTCTAAGGAAAAAAGCATATTAAATGGTATTTTATAGGATATTTTGGACTCAAAACATTTTGAAAAAAAAAAAATCACCTAACATCAATCGTTTAACAATTTCTCATAGTTAACTATTCTAGCTCATGATCATGTGTGTTTGATGGGCTTTTTGAAACTAAATAAAAAAATAACAAAGTGTTGTATCATTCATTCATTCATTTCATTGTAAATCACAATAGCACCACATTTCCCCTCCTTTACACCCTCAACTTCAAGAAAAGGCTATTCAAACAGTTGCCCTTCTCTCTCACTTTCACTCTTATCGGTGGTTTTGAACTTTTTTTTTTTTCACAAAACAGCTTTTTGTTTCTGTATCTGTCTAATGTGTGGAACCGTTTTTCTATGATTCATTTTTGGATTTTCTCTCTATTTAAGTGGTTCTGTTGATCTGTTCTTCATCTTACAGATGCGGTATTCCGGATCCAACTTTTCCTTTTCAAACTCGAGTGGTTTAGGGGTGTTTTGTGGAGCTACTTTTGGAGTAATATATACCATTAAAAGCCACATTTTGGGATGTGTCTCTCTCTAGAAATGGACATGAAATCGTTTTTATCAAATTTTGATCGGTTTTTGGGTCCACTCATCGTTTTAGAAGCAGGCAATTTGGATCCAGTTGGTGAAATATCTTTTCATTCTAGATGTCTTTTCAACACGTTCTTTCTTTAGTACACAAATATTTCAATTTATGATGGACATGGTTTCCATGCGGCCAGTCCCGCACATTGTAGAAATGGTAATAGATATATATTTTAAATATAATTGGGAAAAATTTATATTTATATAGAGCTTACCTTAAATTATAAACAATCAAATTAGAGCCTATCTCAAAAAGTTTATTAAAAGACGTTCTTTTGATGCCTAAGTATCCTCAAATTGATCATCTCGACATCAAGATGCATGGACATGAGAAAAAAATGGATTTCATGTTTTGAAAATAGTTTATTTGTAATGCATTTTTTGACCGTCAATTTTCAAGATTTCATAGATCTATCGATCTACACTATTTTTTAAGCCTTAAACTTTACTAGTAATATGCAAGTGAGTTACACGTGATATTTAATATTAATCACTGAAACATATTTGTCATTGAAAATATTTTCAATAAAATATTTATAGGAGTAATATTATCTATTTTTCTGCCTTTCACGTAGCAAGGCTTTGCATTTTCTTTTTTTTTTTCAATTATTTTTTGGGGACAAAATTTAGTTATAATTATAATATAATTATAAAATTAGAACAAATAATAATTTATTTTTATCAATATCTAATTTTTATAATTATTATAGAAATATATGTGTAAAGAAAATATTTAGACTTCAGGCAATCAACGAAAAGTTATAAATGTAATATTCTAACAAGAATAAATTATTCCCACATAAATTTAATTTATTTTAATATAACTATAATTACATTACATTATTTTACAATTTATTTATTACAAAATAATAAATATAAATATAATATATATCATATTTATTATCCAATTATGAAAATAAAGAGGAGAGATGGTGTTACTCTGGCTTAATATATATTTTCTAAATATGCTCATTCTATTTACCTCTTTCTATATATCATTATCTAGTGATCTCCACGCATCAATTTTAGGAACCTTAGATTGTGGGAAGAGGGAGAGAGAATGGAAAGAGAGAGGGCAATTATAGAATAAAAAATGACACATGATACAAAAATAGTGAGGGTGTTGTTCTCACTTAATATGTAATAAATAGATAAAGATGAAAATATATTTTAAGGCTATCACAAAGATTTCCAATATTGTCGCCATATTTCTCGACACTATTTGAAAATAGGTTCTAATTTGATTGTTTAGAGTCTAGGCTCCATACAAACTGCACCCAGTAGAATTTGATCTTAATTTTTAGATAATATATAATCTTTAACATGAAGATCATGAATATGAAAAAAAAAAAAAAAATTCTGAAATATAGATATGATAATTATATTAAGAAAACATTTGGACTGTTAGTTAAGCTTAAGCTTATT